TCTCCCTAAATCTATAAATAAGACTATATCAATCACCATTGTTTATTAGGACCATAATATTGGCCACCACATTGAACACTTTTTTCTCTGCCATAATGTATCACCTTTTGTATTATTAATTTGTAATATTCCATATTAAATTCTCTTTTTTACGTTTCTGCTAACAAATGCCATTTCTAGCTTCACATAAGCCATGCTATATAATAACAAAGTGTTTAGGAAGAATTTTTAAATAGGATGTTTGATAACTTGTTGAAAAAATCTTTTAGAGTGGCTGTTATTGGAGGAAGTCCAACTTTATCTAAACAAGGGAACACTTTCTGCTCCCCATGCAGCATACTAAATGATTACTATATGATGGAGACCATCTAGCTAACACTAATGGAGAGGGACATGTTACTGCCAATAATGGAGAGGACGAGCAAGTTGAGGTCGTGAATGCTAATGGAGGATTTAAAGATGCTGTTTTAAAGAATAATCCTTACATCCGTGATCCACTCTCAAACATTGTTGGACCAATGACTCGTGCTAGACGCAAGAGGATGAATGAATCACTTAATAGTCTAATTGTTACTACATGGGCTAAAGAGGAAATTAAGCTTGAAGATTACAAGCCCAAGACTATTAATTTGCTGCAAGTGACACCAAATGAACATGTAATTTCGGCCCTCAATCCTCAAAGGGACCGCCGGCCACTCCCTCATGTTGGTCGAATTAATCCCTAAAGTTTAGGGGTGAGATCCTTCAAATTTTATCTCTTTGAAAGATAAGACTTTTATCTCTTTAAAGGATAATATTTGGGATGATTCTTTTATCTTGTTTTCGAGTTATCCTATAATAAGGAGTCAACTTTTGATGTCTACTCAACCGTTGGATGAAGACTACATCAAGATGGATGGCTAAGATCACTCTAGAAAGAAGAGGATGATAGAGTTTTAACTCAAGGGAGATTCTATCCATTGAAATCTTTCTAAGAGATTATCTCTTTGTATTTTGAGTTTTAATTAATTCCTACAAGTCTTAAATGTTTTAATACTAGTAAAAGTGTCTAAGTTCGTTATCTTATCACTTAAGATAACTAGGAGTCTTTAGAGTTTTATTTCATTTCAAATTCTTAGAGATAGGAATAGAGGTGAAGAGTTGTGTTCTTCCTCTACTTCTTGGGAAGAAATTTCGGCCACCCCCTCTATAAATAGGGACCGAAATTCTCTTGTCCAACACACCTTGTGTCATTGATATTTTCCTGAGTGAAATTGGTTAGGATTTTATTCCTTTCGTGGAGTTCTTGTGAGGACTTCTTTGTTTAGTTGTTGCATATGTGTTGTGACAATTGTTAGACTTATCTATCTTGTTTAGTTCACTTGATAGTGGCGTCTTTAGCATTGGATCTTTCGAATCTTGGTATTTGAGCTCATAGATCTCATATCTATTGGGTTTTCCTACACAATTTTCTAAGGGGTCTCTGCTTGGTTAGAAATAGCTCTCTTCATTCTTGATTTGGGTTGTTCTACCATTGAACTCGTGAATTGATCCACATGAGGTCAAATATCTTTTCTTTTCTTTGTTTTTCGTGTGTTTTTGAGTCTTAAATCTGAACTCTCCAAATTCCGCTGCCTACAAATCTCTGTCTTTCCGAATTAGCAAAGTTGATCTTTTCTTAAAGATTGGTTTTGTCACGGATTGCTATCACTATATATGTTTGATAGGGTAAAACACGCAATTACATAATACACGGTGTTACTCCTATTTCATAAATTTTTTCTTAAACGTATCTGGCATAAATGCACACATTTGAGTTATTGTTGTACTGAAATAACGTATATCAGTATTAGATTATTTGAAGGATGCGTTATTGTATTTGGAAATTGACAATATTATACAATATTTGTTGATGTCATTGACAACGGATAGACACAGAAAGAAAATTTCGTGCACCATTATCATATAATATATACTAAAAATATCGATCATTAACCGATTTACATATCTACTTATTAGTTGTATTCAAAAGTTTGTTCGTGTGTTCATTTTTAATTTAATACCTTCGTTTTCTTCTTTTTTTTTCTGGTTCAATAATACCTTCCTCATATCAATGCAAACTACAGTACATAAAAAATATGAAAAGGAAAAGATAATTTTGGAGTCCGTCATTCAAAAGCTTGCATGGGATACGGAAATTTGTATGATCGGCCTTGCTGCAACCAATAGTCGATGTATAAATTCATGCGGCAATGATTCCATTGCCTAACCCTATGCGGCCATCATGAAATCTATTGTAGCGACCATAATTGAGACATCCACTTTTAATTGAAATTCCTCCTTCCCAAAATTTGCATTTGCAAACTGGCTACAATGACGAATAGGCTAAAAGACACAACCAAATGATAGTCCATTTCCCTCCAGTTTTAATTGTCTAATGGTTAAACGTTCCTTCCATAAAAGCACACATTTGATGTCTTTCCGTACTGCAATAAGTTGTACTAATATTAAATTATTTGAACTATTGTAATTCTCTTCGAAAATTGACAAGTAATATCGAACAATCCTTGATGTCAATTACAACAAAGTGACAAAGAAAAAAAATTCCTTCATGCACCATTAAATTTTAATATATTATATACTAAAATTATCAATAACTAATTGGTATACATAAGTACAAAATACTTGTATTTGAAAGGTTGTTGCTTTCAACATTTCGGTACAATTCTAATATGTTTGTCATATGAATGCAAAATGCATGACACTAAAAAATATAAAAATATAAAACTACATAGCCAGTCATTCCACAGTTTGCATGTACATACCGAAATATGTACCACGACCCTTGCCGCAACCAATAGTTGATGTCTATGTATGCATGCAGCAAGCATTCCATCGGCCAACCTATGCGGCCGTCATTACATTTATTGAAGCTACCATATTTAAATAATGTTTGCACAACAATTTAGAAACACTAAGATATGGTTCGCCATGCAAACTCCTAAAAAAACACCATCGACTTCAGCCATTCATACATTGTGTCGACTTCTTCTAATTTTCAAAACAAATGGCTTCATTTCATTTTGAAACAGTTCATATGGAAAGCAATCAACAATCTTCACTTTGGACTAACAAGATTATAGCGTTTTAAAAAAAGACTAATAATAAGATTATAACAAAAAGATTCCATTCCATCTGAATAATACTTCATGCCAAAAAAAACCTGATTCACTTAATGGGCTTTATGTTTTCCTAATACAGTTTACATAAAAACAAATAGCTATTTTAACTTTTTTTACGTCTAACACGCAACATCACATCAACCTCAGAACATCATTTCATTCCCATAATTTCCACCCTATTATAATTAATACCACTACATTTTTTTTTTTTGAGATTCTACAATCTTCTTTTTTACCTTGTTTTCTCCTCCAACTTCGGCCTCTTTTATTTTGCGGTGAACTTCCTCCCTCATTTTTTCCGGTGAAATTCTTCCATTTGTTTTTCTTTTCGAAGGCTTGTCTATAGAATCTGGTTGTTCCTTTGTGAAAAGAAGGTAAGATGTTTTGTTTTCCTTACTTCAATTTATGCATATGTGTTTTTAAAGATCATCTATCAAGGGTTTTTTTGTTTTTTTTTTTTGTTGATTGCTTGATCTGTCACGATGACTTGTTTTAAAATCACATCTCCTATTTACCATTGAGTTCGATTGAAATTTTAAAATTTGTTTGGGCTTTAACGAGATCTAAAATCTTGGATCGACAATTCCAGTTCATGTATATTGTTTCGTGTGACTTCAAAGTATTCGGTTTTGTAAGCTAAATTTTTCTACGGAACGAATGCTCCATAGTATGAAGAAGAATTCATACTTGATTGCCACTATCACAAACCTCCCAACAAAAGAATTGCAGATCCTACCGAATCAATTTGAAATTATCTACATGAAAATATGTTCACAGCAGGTAAAGAGGAATTCATTGGCCCTAACTTGAGAACGCCGTGTTTCAAAATGAAGAGCTGTGAAATCTTATTGGAAAATCTCCAGGTAACTGATTACCAGAGACATATCTTACTAGGTTATGATTGTCATAGTAGATACCCTATGCATAAAAAGAAGGATAACCGAGTCCTGCAATTGAAACACCATGCAGAATGATGGTTTGCATGTCGTCGGAGAGGGTGTAAGGGCGGTAAAACCTGCATCAAAAGAAAAATAAAATACATTTTAAACTGTACTCCGAGTCATGCAAATGACAACTATGCAGAATGATGATTTCAAAGTGATGGAAGTAAGGCTCTTTTAACCTCGATGCAAACAAAAGATCATGGCAATTATATAAGTTAATACATCATACGTAAAATAAGTTACAAAATTAAACTACATGATACTTGAAGCCATCTTCAATTAACATAAATTATGTAAACGTGAAAAATTCATAGCATATTGTATTGGTATCAACTGTCTCTCTATGATTTTAATGGTTACAGTAATGGTGGTGTGGATGATGAAGTGCCTCTGTTTCACATAGTTTACCTGGTTACATATACTCCTGAAAGAAAAGACAATATTCACAACAAATATCACTTTTACCATTATAAATGGATAACTAAAACTCGGCACTACAACATTCTTAGACAAGAAAAGGAGTACTACTAAAATGTGTGCCAAAAATTTTGAAGCATGCTAAATCTTTTTGGGAACATGAGATGTTTGTTTTGTTTTATGGGAGCACTAAAGTAATCGATTTTTATTTATCCTTGGCTAACAAAGTTTGTTTGCAAACTGTTCGACTAACAAAATCACTTATGGCTATCATGGTGTTTTCTATTACTTGGAATTGTTTATGTTTATTTTTATTCCTCATACATTGTACCCCTATTCATGTTAGTATATATAATAACGCATTGGTCCCTCTCATATATTCAGAAAATAGCTCTACTCACTCTATATACGCCATTCCGAACCCGACCTTTCAAATTCTTACCTGTGATATTGTCTTTTCAATCCCCTCATATGTAAAATGTCTCATTTCCATCAAAGTGAAAACTTCGAATCTTATGTCGATCCCTTCGACATGCTTCCAATTGACCTCTACATGGACATCATGTCCAGATTTGATTGCAAAATTGTAGGTGTATCTCGATATGTTAGTAAAAGGTGGAAGGCAATTCTGTATGATATACAATTCCTGTTGCAGCATCGACGCTCATCTCAAAATTCAAGTGACAAATCTTTGTTAGTTCTTTCTCAAAAAATGAGTCTGAATAGCAGAGTAGCGAAATTGATGAAATTCAATGAAGTTTACATTGATGATGATGTGGTCAACGTACTATCCCAGACAGTTAAGCTGTCTATTCACAGTAAAAAACTCCTTCGAGTACTTCCCATCACTTGTAATATCCTATGCTTCAAGCTGAATGACAAGATAAAGTTGTTGAATCTGATTACAAAACAAGTACATGAATTAATCGAACCGTTTGCAGGAATGGAGATTTAAGGTTTATGGAACATTGCTTTCGATTACATAGCTGAACTTGAAAGGTACTACATTATATGCTTACAACCAAGAAGGTTGTATGGTTGATGTTACACTTTCTTGGCAACCAGGAATATCTTGTGTTGACGATGAACAAGTCGGGTATTGCTCTTGGAGTCATGTTGACGCGGTATGTCCACGAAATGTCCTCCTAGAAGGATTATTTGTTGAACATCTCGTGTACTGGCCAATAAATAATTTTGTCCACAACGGCCAAGAGTCTCGAAATCAGCTTCTGATTTCATTTGATACCAATAGTGAAACATTTGAAATCATTATAGGTCCGAACGATCCATTCTGGAATGAGTGTGATAAGTCGCCTAACTCAAGTTTCAAAATTTTGACTATGCAGGGTACACTATGTCTGACGGATGAAGAATTAGTCTTCGTTTCTCGGAAGTTCCATTTATGGGCTTTTCACCACCGTGCAAACAGTGATAGATATTGGACAAAAATATATGAACTTAGTTTACAGTTTCCAGTCACAATTCGATATAGTCCATTTCGTCAAGATTTTGATTATCCGTGGCGTCGAGATTGGAACCTCATCTTAAATCCAAATCTTATTTGGCAGGCAATTTCATTCTATCAGGGCCCGATCGTTTTCATTACTATTTGTACAAACCAACAGAAAATGGAAGTACATTACGAATCAGGCATTTCCCTATATATAGCGGTTCTATGCCATCATTAGGTTTTTTCAATAAGAGTTTGATTCCTTTTTAGTTCCGATGACAGCTTTGTAATAAATCATGTGCATTCGTACATGTTTTATGATTGATTAGCATCATGGTGTTGTTGTGTTTTATTCCTTTTTCTTTTTAATATTTATAATTTTACTTATTATTGCGATGGGGATCGTCAAACAATTTGTAATAACTATTGTTTATTTTCAACTTGCAGTATTTTCTACAATCTTGTACAACAATTCTTTATGTGAATGTGAACGGATTCACAGATAAAATTTTTTTAATTAACCGTTATAATGTATGCTATCAAATATTAATCATTAATTTATGTACATTCATAATTGTTAGTCAAGTTTATAATTTTGTTTCTTTCTACATTTCATTCTAATTCTAATACATTTGTTATATCAATGCAAAAGATTCGACACACACAAAAAAAATTGGGAAGCCCGTGATTCCACGGGTCATATATAGTACAAATACATACACACTCTAGGCATTTACTGGGAGTCAGTGGGACACGTGCCCTCAGTGCCTCCACTGTAGTTCCGCCACTGACCACAGGCTCAGACCTCTATAATATCATGTCAAAATATATAAGTACCTTGAACTCTCATTTCATAACCTATTGACAATGAGTGGGGTGGCTTTGCAACTTATATATTGAGTCACGCTTGCAGCGTGAGACAGATAATATACCTTAACAAAGAAAAAAAATATGAGTCAAAAAATGAGTAGGAATTTCGCTTCCCATTTAGCCTTACAATAGAACAAAAAATCACGAATCTAGATAACTTATGTGTCAAAAATTATTTTCTTAAAAAAATGATGCGGAAATTTTACATGTCAAGTGGAGGTATATTCTTACGTTTGCTTCGGCTTTTAGTGAGTATATTTATGTTTTTTTTATTAAAAATGTGTATTGAAAATACAGAAAGATACATTGGATGAGATAATTATTATTTTATTATTTAAAAAAAATCAAAAAATCAAAACAAATAATAAAGTTTGATTTTTTTTTTGAAATTTTTTTCATAAGAGGAGAACGATTGTTTTCAATTTAAAAATCCTTTCTTGTGCTTTGCTAGTATATTAAATAAAAAAAAATCAAAACAAATAATAAAGTTTGATTTTTTTTTTTTGAAATTTTTTTCATAAGAGGAGAACGATTGTTTTCAATTTAAAAATCCTTTCTTGTGCTTTGCTAGTATATTAAATAAAAATAGAATACATTGATTACTAATGAGTAATTAGCATACAAATTAAATTAAACAAACCCAATCAATCTGTGCTTCTTGAAACTACCCCTTTAATTTAACGCATTTTAACAAACACTTTCCCCAATTTCTCTTACCATTCCCAGTCTCCACTGAACCCACAAAAGAATATAATAATTGTAACTGAGGAATAAATTACTGTCACTATATTTAAGAAAAGAATTAAAAAAAATCAATAAAGGCGTGTGCTTTGCTAGGCTAGCTAGAGATCTACTGTATTATGAGAGAGAGAGAAAGAGAGAGCTCTGGAAAAAAGCTACTACTCATCAGTCATCAGTGGGGGCAGAAGTGTATAGTAGCACTAGTAAGTTGTACAAGTAGAAGTAGTACTTATGTAAAAATTTTTTTTTTGCTAGTTTTGCTATTCCTTGTTCTCTCTCTCATCCAATTATCTAGGGTTTCAAACTGGGCTCTCCCTTGAAGTAACTACAAGATCTGCTTCATATGTAGCTCAAGTTCCAATTTTCATATGTTCAAGCCTGCAAAGTTAGGACTTTTGGGGATTTTTCTTTGTAGTTTTTGGATGGTTTTAGCACTTTGAAGGATCTGGGAAGTCTACTGAGGACAAGCTCAAGTAAGCTGGAAATGGAGGTGTTTGGCTGCTGCTGGAGTGGGTTTGGATGAGAAGCTTATGGTGTTGTTTCTTGTTGCTACGAATATGTCGGGCTTTTGTTTTGGGGGGTGGGGGGGTGGGGGCAAGAAGCTTTCTTTGCTGTCTTCAGATTAGCTTTTGATACTTTTTTGGGGTTTTTGAGTTTCTTTCGGGAGGTCTATTTATTGAGGTTTTAGAGAAGTCAAAGGAAGTTGGTAACTAAGCTTCTGGTGATTCTGGGATGAGGTTATCTACTTCAGGGTTTTCTCCTCAGCCAGAGGATGGTGAGTTTACTCTTTACCTGTTTCGTGTTCACATTTTGAAATTTAATTTTCTATTTCCTCAATGAAGTGTTTTGGAAAATTTGTTTGAATGCTGATGTTTCTTTGTGGACATGCTTTCACGGAAACAGGGGAGAAGAAATGCTTGAATTCAGAGCTCTGGCATGCTTGTGCTGGTCCACTGGTGTCCCTTCCAGCTCTAGGAAGTCGAGTGGTGTACTTTCCTCAAGGGCATAGTGAGCAGGTAAGATTGGAAACACTGAACTGAAACTTAAGTTTTCGTCTTGTTTGTTTGAAGTTATTAATCAGTAACAGTCAGTAGCAAAATAGGTTGCTCTAAGCTAGGCCGCTCTGCTTGAACTTATCAGTATCCTACTATTGTAAATGGTTTAGCTGGAAGTTGTATCATCAACACATGGTGGTAGTTGTTTTGTCTGTGAAGGTGTGTGTAAATAAACTAAATACCGTTTATGAAATGTCGTTATTGGGGGTTCTGAAAGTCAATAGTCAACATTCAAAAAGCTTTCTCTTGCTTCCCTTTTAAGAAGCTAGCACTTTCAACACTTACATTTGGACTTTTGAAAACATGTATGGGAAAATCCTTTCATTGTATAATTGATCATCGTATCTGTTTAGTTATTTTGGTAGACCAGTGGTTTTATGGAAAATAGATGTTGTCCCTGTAGAATTTTAGCTTGTGGGGTGCTCCTAGGATACCATTTCTCGTCCTTATATAATTTGGTGGTAGTGAAATGTTCCTGTTGCGGAATGTAGAAAAATTTTTCAAATCGTATTTGAAATATATGCAAAAATCTTTTCTTTTTTCTTGTTTCCCAGACTTATTAGGGTGGTGGCCGGGAAGCTTATTTTCAATTTTTTATTTTTCTGTAGGTTGCTGCCTCCACCAACAAGGAGGTTGATGCTCATATCCCCAACTATCCTGGCTTACCGCCACAGCTCATATGCCAACTTCACAATGTGACCATGCATGTATGCTCTTTTTCAATAATTCATTAAGTGATGGTGATAAAGATGTTGCTTCCTAAATGATTGAAGGCTGAATCTTTGGTAATTTCAGGCGGACGTGGAGACGGATGAAGTTTATGCTCAGATGACCTTGCAACCATTGAGTGCAGTAGGTTCCTTTTGCCTGCCTTTCCCATTCAATTCTTTTTCTCTATTGCTTCTCAATTTCACTGTGGATATATTCTCCGTGGCTTATGTTTGTAGCAAGAGCAAAAAGATGTTTGTCTACTACCAGCAGAACTTGGTGCACCAAGCAAACAACCGACTAATTATTTCTGTAAAACGTTGACTGCAAGTGACACAAGTACGCATGGAGGATTTTCTGTCCCTCGTCGAGCAGCTGAAAAAGTCTTCCCCCCTCTCGTGAGTCACTTGCTTATGTTTTCATCATTTTCATTTCTGAAAGTTTGATCTCTGAATGTGAATGTTTTGCTTTTCAGGATTATTCCCAGCAGCCTCCAGCACAAGAATTGATTGCGAAAGATCTTCATGGAAATGAATGGAAGTTCAGGCATATCTTTCGTGGTGAGTTTTACTTGTAGAACCCTAATTGTGTTTGGCGACTTAAATAGACTTTAGGCTGGTAGCCGCACATGATGTTCTGTAATAAACTTATTGCTTATCGTTACTATTCTCTTTTTATACAGATATACTAAAATTCTGCTATATTTGTACTGTTGTGCGTCATTTGCAATATTTACAGATTTAAGTTATATGGACTAATCTCTCTAGTTGTCGAAACACTCACAAAATCGATATAATTCTTGGACCACCATGTATACTGAGAAAATCTTTATGGTTTCTCTAAATGCATGTATAATTTTCTTAATTGAGAGATTCGGAATCATCATTAGCATGTCCTTGTTGGACCTTTATAGTTCTAAGTGGCTCTACTGATACTTGCAGGCCAGCCAAAGAGGCATCTGCTTACAACAGGATGGAGCGTGTTTGTTAGTGCGAAGAGGCTTGTTGCTGGTGACTCTGTAATCTTTATCTGGTATGCACTGGATCTCCATTCCATTCATAATGTGTGTTCAATGGATCTCCATTCCGGTAAACTTCATGATGTGTGTTATATCTCTTTCTGTGTCTTTTTGACTTTTTGATAATGAAAGATTGGGGGGTTCTTGGTTGGGAGAAATGTGAATTTTCTCCCCTTGGTTTTTAGAGTTTGAATTAATCGAAATATACCTGTCATATTGGCCTTTTTGGGAGCTTGATTTGAGAAAAAAGCTTCTCATTCCTGTGCATTTGTTGCCTTTGGTTTTGATTTGACCGTGTGTTACACTGTCCCAGAAAATCATATAGGCTTTGATTCTTGTGTTAGTTTAGTGCCTGACTTAATTTCCTTGTGTACCATTTTGATTAAATTGCCATCCTATTTAGTTTTATGGTATTTTCATTTGTGATATTGTCAAATCTTATCGAGCTGATGGAATCTTGGAGAGCATGGTCTGAGAATTCTTACATGTCAAGTTCAAATCTCCTTATTCGCTTATGAGAATGTGTTGATATTTTGATCGTATGGCTTTGGATTGTATTCCTATAATCTCTTTTCTTCAATATTAATTTTTAATCAGGAATGAAAATAATCAGTTGCTTTTGGGAATCCGACGTTCAACTCGTCCACAAACAGTCATGCCTTCCTCAGTCTTGTCAAGTGACAGCATGCACATAGGTCTTCTTGCTGCAGCAGCTCATGCGGCTGCGACGAATAGTCGGTTCACTATATTCTATAATCCTAGGTAAAGAATATTCTTCTAAATGTTTACAGTTGGAGAGTAACAGTATCTCATATATGTTGGTCTTAAATGTAGGGCTAGCCCATCAGAATTTGTTATACCATTAGCAAAATACGCGAAGGCCGCTTATCATACGAGGGTTTCTGTTGGTATGCGCTTCCGGATGTTGTTTGAGACAGAGGAATCAAGTGTTCGTAGGTAAGCATTTCATTTTCCCACTTGATACTTCTACAGCAGATTAATTTATTGTCCATATGTTTTAGAGAAAGGGAGTTGAAGCAAGCATGATGTCTTTTCTAGCTATGGTTTGGCTGTCAGATGTCATGCTACAGTATGTGCTTAACTTGTCGATAAAAATGGTCTATGGCCACTGAATCCGTTTGTCTTAGAAAAGCCTTGCATCACAAAATGCTCTTTTTGTACTTAGTGAAGAAAAAGATATGTTTTTTCTTGTTCTGTTTTCCTGCATCTTCTAAACTAACGATTTTTTTCATGCTTCTCTTCCTTTGACAATACTTTACCAACCTTCTTGCTCCTGAGGGATAGGTTGAATTCTTCGTAATGATGCTTTTGTCACGTATGATACGAAGTAATACCTTTTGGAGGTCTGGTGTAGTTGTATAGTACGAGTATGATGCATGTGTTGAGAGGTGTTTGATGATAGTCCTTGTGATTCTCCAGTCTTGCTGCATACAGTTTTTGAGTTTCATGTATATGAAACCATATTATGGATGCACAAGTGTTAAATTCCTTCATGCACGAGTTATTGGCCAATCATTGAGAAATATAATATGGGGACAGAACCTTGGAAGCTAACTTCTAAAGAATAGCTGGTATTAGCGATTATTTTCTTATAACATGAGTGACTCTGCATGAATGCAGGTACATGGGCACAATTACTGGTATTAGCGATTTAGATTCTGCTCGCTGGCCAAATTCACATTGGCGCTCAGTGAAGGTTGTTGTCTATCCATGAAAATGTTGGCTTTGATACATAGACAAATTACTTTCTAAAAGTGTTTTTGCTTAGTTGAAATGTGTTCCTGCTTTTAATCTTTTTGACTTTTGGTTATGGAATTTAAGATCGGAGTCATTGTCTAGTCTTGGCAATATCTGGGAATCTTTGTTAGATCCAAAAACTTTTCTTTAATGCTTGAGAATGGTTGGAGGGAAAAAATAAAATTAAATAGTCAATAGAAGGCCATGATGCTATTCTATATCTAAATACACATTAAGTATTATTATGTATGAATTGAAGTTTCTTACCACCTCTATAATCCTATAATTAAAGATTTGTCCTTGGTAAAGCTAGATTATGGAGAAGAAATATCCCAGTCATTGTTGAATAGTTCAGGTTAACATTTATCTCTGCAGTTCAGGAATAACATTGTGGGAAAACTGATCTCTGATGCTTACATGGATGTTTTGGAAGCATTTTGGTTGCTTATTCTTCTTTTTATGCAGGTGGGGTGGGATGAATCAACAGCTGGTGAGAGACAGCCCAGAGTTTCCTTGTGGGAGATTGAACCGCTAACCACTTTCCCTATGTATCCTTCTCCATTCTCCCTTAGACTGAAACGACCATGGCCATCAGGATTGCCCTCATTACCAGGTCTCTGGCTTAAGCTTTTCTATGGATCCAAGTCATGATGTATTATTTTAACTCTTCTCTCAGGTTTTTCATTCTGGTATGCATTTTACAGGTATGACTAACGGGGAAATGAGTATTAATGCCCAACTTTCATGGCTTCGAGGTGATATTGGGGGTCAGGGATTTCCTTCACTAAATTTTCAAGGGTTTGGTGCTACACCTTGGATGCAATCAAGACTTGATGCCTCCATGTTAGGTTTGCAACCAGATATATACCAAGCAATGACAGCTACTGGGCTTCAGGAAACTCGAGTTTTTGATCCAGTCAATATTGGAAATCATTCTCTTTTGCCATTCCATCATAATGCTTCCAGTGGCTCTGCTTCACTTGTTCAGAGTCAAATGTTGCAACAGTCTCAGTCGCAACAAAACTTTCTTCAACCCTTTGCGGAGAACCAGGTGATTGCTCAGGCTCAGATATTACAGCAACAGTTGCAGCGTCGTCTCTCCTGTGATCAGCAACAGCAGCAGCAAATGCATCAGCAAGTTCAGCCACCCCAGCAGCTGCATGAGCAAATTCAACCAGTCCAGCAACTCAAGCAGACTGTTTCAAATCTCTGTCAAATAGAGTCTTCATCTCAGCCTCAGTTCTCACCTCTGCAGGCATTGGCTTCAACCTGCCCGCAGCAAACCTTTTCCGACATCAAGAACGTATCAAGCACTAATAGTGCTCCAATGCAGAGTCTGCTAAATTCATTTTCCCGTGATGGAGCATCTCCTCTGATGTCCTTGCATGGAATCCAATCAGCAGTGTCTCCTTCCTCTTCATCAAAGCGGGTGGCGCTGGAATCTCATATCTCTTCTCGTACAGCTCAATCTGTAACATCCCAAGCTGGCGATGCAATTCCCAATTCTAGGGTCTCTGATCTCTCTGCTCTGTTGCCTCCTGTTTCAGGAAGAGAATATACCCCGTTCCAAGGGATGACAGATCCCCAAAACAATGGTTTGTTTGGAATCAACGCAGATTCTTCTTTTATCCTGCAGAATGGGATGTCACACCTTGTAAGTGGTGGTGATGAGAGTGAATCATTCACTGTTCCGTTCAACACCTCCACTTACTCAAGTGCTGTGGGCACTGATTTACCACTGACTTCAGACATGACAGCATCAAGCTGTGTGGATGAATCTGGTTTCTTGCAGTCTGCTGAAAATGTGGACCAGGCAAACCCGGCATCCCGAACCTTTGTGAAGGTATGTGATTGAACCTGCTAGTTTCTGCATCGAGCCTTGGCTGGACTTGTGTTTTCTATCGCAAATTGCAGTCATCTATGCAAGAAAAAACTGATAGTGCATTTGCAATCATTTAGGTTTAACTGATGTCATAGTACATGTATCTTAACATTGTATTTGAATTACTGGTTGGGCTGCTGACCTACTTCCTTTCTTTGCTGTACTTTGCTTGGAATGTGAACATGACTTTCCTTCATGCAGATGATTGGATTCATAATCCTTGTGATCTCAGCATGTGCTTTCCTAATTAAAAAGAAAAAAAAGAGAAGGGAAAAAAGGGACCTTTCTCTTTGTGAGTCTTTTAAGTTATTGAGAAGTGGTTCCATTGACAGGTTCACAAATCAGGGTCCTTCGGACGATCACTAGATATCTCCAAGTTTAGCAGCTACCAGGAGTTGCGGAGTGAACTTGCTCGGATGTTTGGCCTTGAAGGCCTGTTGGAGGATCCCCAGAGATCAGGCTGGCAGCTTGTATTTGTTGACCGAGAAAATGATGTTCTTCTTCTTGGTGACGACCCTTGGCAGTAAGCACTAATTACCTTCTAGTTGTCGGTTGCAAAACTTGTTTATTAGTCTTGTACTTTTGAAGTTCATTTATTTCAAAGCCCGGAGTTTTCTGTGTTAATTGAAGTGCTTGGAGTGGGGTTATGCATTTTCATTCATCTACTCAGTTTTGAATATTTATTGTGGAAATCTATCAGTAAATGTCTAATTAGAGAGCATTTTCATGCACACCTACCTTACTGATCTGTAGATAATCTAAAAGGGAGGAAGGTAGGAGTTTCGTACGTTCTACATATCTCAATCAAGAAATCATGCAGTCTGCTCTCAGTTTTTTTGGCACTGACCACCTGTGTTATATTGATAAGTATAATCATGAAGTGCTTTTTTATTTATGTGCTCATTTTCATCTTAACTTATGAATTGATCACATATGTAGAGTAGGTGTTTGAACAGTTGACAATCTTAGATAAGAGCCCTTCTTTAACAACATGTACCCAGAATCTTCAACTCTGCTGGGTCAAGTTGTACGCAGCCTTACCCCGGTATATATTAATACAGAGGCTGTTTAAGTACGACCTGAGATGCATTGGCGCTCTTGATGTGTTGATTTCCGGCAACTACACCAAAATTTAGAAACATCGGAACTGAAATGAGCCATTTTCATCTAGTCCATCATGAACACAAAAATGAAAGAATTGTCAATAATGACTCTTCTGGCTCCATTTGCAATGGATGTTTAAGGGCCCTTCTTTAGCCGTCTAAAATTTGTTGTGTTGAAGTGTGCAATACCATTAGGTGATCAGTTCATGCCTTTTCATGGTTTTGAGTTTTTATTGCTTTTTATTACAGGGAGTTCTTAAGTAGCGTCTGGTACATCAAGATACTGTCTCCCCTTGAAGTACAGCAAATGGGAAAAGAGGGGCTCGACCTTCCTAGTTCTGCTGCGACGCATAGACACAACAACAATGGCAGTGGATGTGATGGCTACATGGCCTCTCAGAAGGACTCAAGGAACAACATGAATGGCATAACTTCCGTGGGGTCGCTAGACTATTGAAGAAGAAGAGCACACTTTCAAAGTGCATCAGTAATGTTCTGGAGGTGTTTGTACTATATTAGTTACCACTGGCCTTTTCTTCCCCTTTTTGTGTAATTGAGGTCATTGGAGTGTAAGCCGAAGTTAATTTGAAAGCGTGTATCCTAGGACTCTGTAAATTTAAATACGACAATCCATCCATGTTATAAATATTAATTGCCCATTTTGTTGGAGCCATCAAAATCATAGGTGGTTATGTTAATTGCTTGGCAAGTAGGTCTGCATAAATCCTATGCGGGTGGTCGATTTGAATTTTGAATCGCAGTTAGTTCTAGATAAGTTTTCCTGTTATCTTAGTATTCTTGCCAGGATATTATATTCTAAAGAAGGAAGATGTTAAAAGAAATTTACAATCATGTCGGTCTTGGGTCAGTGCAACTCAGGGCTGGTGCCTACTAAGCATAAGGCATATAAGACAATTAAGCCGTGTTTTAAGTTCTGAATCAACTAATAAACGCAATACGTTTCGTTACTGCCATTTTTTGTATCTGAAAAAATTGATTGCATCGGTGTCTGGTTGTATAATGTTTTCAGATTTGTTTAAAGTTGAAGATTTTAACCCCTCAATTTAAATGGCCTAAAACTTATGTAGCCACAATTATTCATCATATTCCAGTTCCACAGATTCATGCAATTAGAAACAAACTTAAAACATTCTTCAAATTCGTTTCTGAATAAACTGCATAACTCAAATAAAAAAAAGAGGGGGCGAAAAAGGAAGGTAAATCGGACTCCCTTTCTTATAAAGCTGTTCTACCAGCTGGTCGTATATTGTGGTTGTTAGTTAACTCCAACTTCCACCAAAAACTCGTGGAGTTGGTAGCACATTGCCTGTGCAAAAGAATGGCTGTTAGTTTAGGCCAAAGCAGAACTTTCACCGAAAACCTTTCGAGGAATGATTACCTAGCAACTTTCCATGCTCACCAACACATATTATTAAACCTTCTTGCCAGATTCGGAAGGTTAGATGCTAGGTTTCATCATCAATTATGTTTAAGTATATATATATCTGCTTTTGTCCATGCAAACGCACGTCCCACCCGAACGCTTCCCTAAGAAACTTGGGAAATAGAAAGGAAAAGAGTGTCCGTTTGTTGGTTCACAGAGATATGTGTGCTGCAGAATATCATCAGCCATTTCTTCTTGGACCTGAATCATGTACTCCGCTTCTAGGTTTATCATCGGATGTAATTGAAGAGTTCTTGGAGCATACTCCGGTTCCTGTCAGATGGTATCCTAAGCTGTTTGCTTGGGAATCAAGACAACTATGGCTCCTTTCCGGTGCTTCAATAGTGGTTTCAGTTTTTAATTACATGCTTACTTTTGTGACTCTCTCATTCACAGGTCATTTGGGTGCACTGGAGCTTGCCGGGGCATCCATTGCCTGTGTTGGAGTTCAAGGGCTTGCTTACGGCATCATGGTAGGCATTAATGCTGTGAATTCTTGCCACTACAACTTGACACAATGTGATTCCTTCTTGAATTTTGACTCCTGACAAAAAAAAAAAAACAGAAAAAAAAAAGAAGAAAAGCTGTAATTTAAGAAAAGCAGAAGTTTTCAGTTTTAATTAGTAGTACCTAATCATTTGAGGGTGCAAATCATTCCTACACTCTGTTGATTCTGATTTCTCTTAATGCAAGTTGAGAAGATTATGTGCGGCAAAATGTTTCTTGTCCAGTCATTTTATTTTGATTTCCTTGCATTTCAGCTGGGGATGGCAAGTGCTGTTCAGACGGTTTGTGGGCAAGCTTATGGAGCAAAAAATTATGGAGCCATTGGGATCATTTGCCAGAGGGCCATTCTTTTACACATTGGAGCAGCAATGATCCTCACACTCCTATATTTGTTCTCCGGTGTGTTCCTCAAAGCAATAGGACAGTCCGACAGGATAGCCGAACTTGGCCATGTTTTTTCCCTGGGACTCATTCCTCAGCTCTATGCGTTTGCTATAAGTTGTCCAATCCAGAGGTTTCTGCAGGCTCAGAATATCGTGAATCCTTTAGCTTATATTTCTATAGGTGTGTTCCTAGTGCACCTGCTGCTGACTTGGCTGGCGGTATATGTCCTTAATTATGGGATCTTAGGAGCTGCTCTGACACTTAGTTTCTCTTGGTGGCTACTGGTGTTTTTCCAAGGACTTTATATAGTTCTTAGTCCATCCTGCAAAGAAACTTGGAGTGGTTTCTCAAGAACTGCATTTAGAGGCATGTGGCTGTATTTCAAGTTAGCGGTTGCCTCTGCTGTCATGTTGTGGTATGCTCCCAGTGTTTTACAGGCACGCGCGCGCACACACACACACATACAGAGACATGATACTTACAATTGAACCATGATTTTTTGAAATTCTTGTTTGATGTAGCTTGGAGATATGGTACTTCCAAGGTCTTGTTCTGATATCTGGCCTTCTTTCTAATCCCACAATTGCACTAGATTCCATCTCCATTTGGTAAAGAACCCACATCGAACATCTCCCTGTTCCATTTCCATACTAAACTTCTCGGAATGATAAACATTTTTAATTGTTCAAATGATTGACAGCATGAATTATTTGAACTGGGATATGCAGTTAATGCTGGGGCTTTCAGCCGCTGCAAGGTGAGTTTAGAAGTTACACTTGCATGATGTTTTCTTATAGATCCAACAGAACATCTGGTGCATCAACTGAGTAACTTTTGTGATTGGAAATTTGTCAGCGTCCGAGTCAGTAATGAACTAGGTGCTAGCCACCCAATGGTTGCAAAGTTCTCAGTCATCGTAGTTACCACAACTAGTGTCATGGTCAGTGCAGTGTTTGCGGCCATTGTGCTGATATCCAGAGTTGGATTAAGTGAGCTCTTCACGATGAACTCCCAAGTCATTGAAGCTGTCTCAAATTTGACCCCATTGTTATCCATGTCTGTTTTCTTGAATGGCATTCAACCCATACTATCAGGTGACATCCCTTGATCAAAGTACTGTTTGAAGCACACTTCCATGCTGTATTCGGATAAATATCCAATCAACACAATGTTGGCTTTTCAGGGGTAGCAATAGGGAGTGGATGGCAAGCTGGTGTTGCCTATGTGAACTTGGCTACATACTACATCATTGGTCTTCCAGTTGGCTGTGTTCTTGGCTTCAAAACCTACTTAGGAGTAGCGGTGAATATTTAAATTTTTTCTTTTTTACCGGTCTTATTTTGCATCTGGATGCTAAGAAGTGTTGCATCAAAAGACGTGTAGATTGCTCATTACTTGTAACTTCAGGGAATCTGGTGGGGAATGATCATTGGAGTTTTGCTTCAATCATCAGCTCTCTTTATTCTGACAGTTAAGACAAACTGGAATTCTGAGGTAATCCATGCATACATCGTTGAGCTAAACTATCCAACCATAACTAAAATCCATACAGAAATCTCACTACCTAGACTTTTGTGAATGAACTTGCAGGTTGCAAAAGCAGCTGATCGCATAAGGGATTCTATAACCGAAGAAGGCTGTGAAGTTGCAGGGAATATTTGACAATATTTTCCTTTGTTTTCAAGCATACTAGAAAGTTCAACAGTTGCCCATTATTTGCTGTTATCAGGAAATAAATTTTCATTGGAGTTGATATTGTGTTTTTTATTTGATGTCATCTGATTTGTGCAAGATACAGGAGTTTCCTACAGCTCAGGAGTTTACAGAAAACATATTGACGCTGGGTCAAATTGCAGAGAAACAAAACTAATCTACATTAGTACAACAAAACCTTTGTTCATGCGGACTGCGGACAAGTCAAAACCATGACACATTTGATAATTTCGAGAAGTGATCCTTCATAGATTAATGTCACATTTTTAACCAAATAAAAATTACCCGAACAACTTACCACACAGTTAGTTCCTGGCTTTAGGGCTCCCTCTGCAAAATGATACTATATGATATCATCCACATCAATTTGCAGGAGCTAAAAACTGACCAACCAGTCATGTATTAGACCAAATGACCTGTACAATGAGTCCCCAAACGCCAGCAATACTGCTGCATTTACTGAAATCACCTTTGACTTGATGTGATCATGCATATCTATCCAGATACTAACAAATGCTACTGATCTCTAGCATATAATACTAATGCTCAGACATTCAATGGGTGCATAGTTGGAAGGTTCCAAAATTGAGGGCTGAGAAACCAGTCTTAGTTGACAGCCACAACTACACTAGCAACAATGCCTCTGTCTTCAAAAGATATCTTGCTACGTGCACCATCAATACTATCACACTCCACGTCAACACCATCATCATCATTACCATTTTTAGTGACTTTTTCCTGTTTCAGTTCAGTTGTGCATCTGACAAGTTCGCTTGCTTCTGCCTTTTCTTCAGCCGTTTTTGCCAAAGAAAGAAGGATGTTTTTTGCTTTCTGATCTGGAACAACGCCAGCTGATCTCATCTCATTGTACCAAATTACAGCAGTATCAAAACCAAGATTCTTCCCATGTGCATCCATAATGGTAGTGAAGATGGTTTCATTTGGTTTGATACTACAGAGTCGCAATTCCTCATACTTCTCCATCATTTTCTCGAGATTATTAATTTTAGCATACCCCTTCATTAGAGTTCCATAAGTGATGATATTGGGTTTGAATCCATCTTGTTTCATCCTTCTGAAAAATTTCTCTGCGCCCTCCATATCAGATCCATTGATGTATGCCGATAACATGGTTGTGTATGAACAAAGATCTGGGGTACATCTGAATAGAACAACATGTCCAATTAACTAGCATAATGAGGACAGGTGCAAGTTGATGTGTTAGTATGTATTACTCTGCTAAAATTATTAGGTTTGAAAAGTTACCTGTCCCTTCGCATACTTTTGAAGACAGTCCGAGCTTGTTCAATCATCCCTGAAATGGCGAATGCATCAAGCAAAATATTATAGGCTTTCTGCGATGGCCTGCAAATGGGCAACCTGATAGTTATCTATCTACTTATACAAGCAGAACAGATATACAGTACACCAAAGTCATAGCCTAAATGAGAACATACTGTGAACTTATAAAATCTTCAACATTTCCTAAAGAAGGAATTAACTGCAAGCCAAAGAAACGATAAACAGCAAACTAAGTTGATTCCAACGGAATATCTCAGCAGTGTTTGCATAATCTTGGTAGCAAACGTAATGATAAGTAGAAAACTAATTTTAATTTTCTTTTCCAATTATAAAATCTGACTTCACTTTTATATCGCTTTGATGTGGGGGTAATAATAATGGGGGCATCTCTGTCAAAGTCTCACAAAATGTGCCATTGTTATTTCATAATCGGGGTTCTTCTTCTCATTGTCAGTATGTAAATAGCTTCTGTACTAAAAATACTAAAAAGGATTTCCTGAAACAAGCAAACTCAACAATCGACTACAACTCTGTACAAATGATCGAAGCTTAGATAAAACAAGGGTAATTTGGAGGAAAATCAATTATTGCAGGAAAACCATATGAATCAGGCAAAGACTACAATAAAGTAATTGCAAACCTGACACCAGCATCAAGCATCTCTTCAAAAACGGCTAATGCCTCTTCTTCCCTTCTAGCCTTTCCATATGCCTTGATGAGTAGGGCATAGCTTACAACATCAGGCTTAATTTTGGCTCTTTGCATCTAAAACAGGCATAATAAAGTCACCAAGTTGTACGTTTTATAATTCCTTTTATTCACTCGGTGCTTCAATAATTACTTTGACAAAGGGAAAGAAACAAACATGGGAAGGTGCAATCACGGCATAAACCAGAAACTAGATGGATGTAATTGGTAGAGCAATGGGCTCAGGAAAAAGGCAATTAAATAGGCAAACAAAGTAAACACAACAGGTAATGAGAAAGTAAATACACAATTTAGAAGCCTGAAAATGAGAAAGTTGTCTGCCACTCATCTGTAAGTTGTGTGATTCAATTTCATATTTTGTCACCCAAATAACAATGTTTTGCTATTGAAACTTTACCTGGTCGTATATTCTGGAAACCTCCTTGTAATTATTTTCGAATGACATTAAGCTATTGTAAGTAACGGTAGTCTGTTTAACTCCTCGTTCAGCCATTAAAGAAAACAAGTGACGAGCTTTATCATAATTTCCTGCCTTCTTGTACATATATATCATCATGTGAAACATTTTCTGATCAGGTTTGAGAGGAGAAGCATTGTCATGTAGAAGAACTTCAAAAACCTCTTCAGCTTCTTTAAACTTTTTTCCCTGCATCCAAGCATCACAATGAAATACAAGCATGGCAGTGTATCAATAGCAGAACTGCATCATCCTTTTGCAAAGGTAATCTATAAAATTTTAGAATGTTTCCATTATGCATGGAAGCAGAACAAAAGGGAGGACAATTTAATCAAGGAAGAAACTCGGAGCAAGATGATACAAAAACTTGCTATTAGCTTGATATGCTTTATGATATCATCGCAAAAAGTTAAACATAAGGGGTCTTCTAGTATAACCTACCTTTCCAGCCAATATCACAAACCAATTAACAAAACTTAGATATAAGAACCTACAGATAAGTCGACACACAAGAGGGTCTAATAATTATCCAACAGCAATATTCACCGAATTATTACCATTTCATCCAGACTTGGACTTGCTAGCATTTTTCATTACAGAAAACATACTCAACAAATCCTATAGATTATGCTTGTCCTCCGTAATAATACTGAAATTAAAGAGCAGATTGGAAAATGGTCGTACCTCAACAAAACTCTTAAGAATTATTTGATAGGTTAATGCAGAAGGATCAGGACCGGAAGCTTGCATCTTACGAAATATTGCCTCAGCCTTGTTGTATTGGCCCCCTTTGCCATATGCTTCCATGAGGGCAGTATGAGATATCACATTTGGAGGATACCCTTTCTTGTTCATGTAGCTTAATACCCTCTCTGCCTTAACAAAGTCTCCCAACTTACCATAAGCAGTAATCAGCATCAGAAAATCCATTTCATTGAAGTCCCACCAATGCTGCACCCGTAGCCACTCCAGAACCTAACCCGCAACATGTTTATCAGATTACATCAATAAAAAAAGAAAAAAGAAGGGAAAAGACAGAAAACCATAGACACTATTCAACCTCGCTAACAAGGTTCCACTTCTTGAGCTGCTTAAATCTAATTAAGGTTCCAAGAACCAAGTCCTTGGGAATAGCCTCATTCTTGGCCTTATGGGTTTTAAGAACCGAAACCGCAGAACCTGCCTCCTCAATCTCATTCATTAGTCTTCTCCAGTTCTTTTGATCTGCTTCATCATCCGCATCCCTAAAAGTTTCTACTTTCTTTCTCTTTTGCATAAACTTTCTTGGGCCCAGAATTCCGAAGCAAATTACCTCTGCTCTTCTGAACAATTTAATATTGCTGCCCATAAAACTCCCTCTACTTTCAAGTTTACTGCATGTAAAACAAAACATGTTAGCAATAGCAACACACTGCAGCTTCAACAAAATTTATATCCTAAAAAGGTAAAAAGGGGTCCTTTCTTTGAGCTCCAACCACACAGTTAACTGAGTTAACTGACAACACCCCCCAAGCCCCAAGCTGTGGATAACCAGAACTTATGCCAAGAAACAAACCTTTTCGAGCTTACAAATTATCAACTGAATGGAGTGCAACACTAATGAAAAGAAGATAAACAGTAACATATCAAAATTACAGTAGCTCAATTATCAGAATTCAAAGTGGCTAAGATCAAATTAAGGTAGCAGGAGAGTACAGCTGTGTTAAAAAGAGGAGACTAACAGCAGCACAGCATTCAATTCACGGGAGCAGAGACAAGATTTTAACAATATAGCATATCAGTCAACTAGCAAATTTAAAACGAGCCCAGATAAGACTACAGTCTAAAGCAGAGAGACCCATCATAGAGCAAACTATCTAACAAGCAAGAAGATACAATAACATATCATCCGATTCGCTTGGAGGAAAGACAAGATATTTTTTCGATAGAATATCATTCAGTCAGCAAAACTAAAAAGTGCCCGGATAAGGTTACAACAAAATAGTAAGAGTGCATCATTCTGAATTAGCAAATGAACAAGAAGACGTGTAAAACAAACCTCCATGTGGAAGATGGTGCGAAGGGCTTGATAAACACGATGGTTTGGGCAGCAGCCATCTTCAATTATAAAAAAATTTAAAAAAAAAAAAAAAAAAGCTTAACCACAGCAAATAGTGAATGAAGTGAAGGAACGATTGAAGCCTTTATGATGAGGCAGCTCTTGCTTCTTCTAGGAATGACAACAGCGGTCGAATGTTATTTTATCCAAAAAACCAAACGCCATTTGCAGTTTTGCACTTGCAGAGTAACTCGGAAATGATGATTCTTTTTGGGATGTTTCTGCAGCTGAATTTTACTAGTATTTTTATTTTATTTTATTTTATTTTCAGATATTTGCAACTGGTTGGGTTGGGCTTAGAGGGAAAATAATTATTTGGATTTTCAAGTGAAATGTCAAATTAGTCAATAATTTTAAAATAAAAAAAATACGTAGTTTATTTTATTCGTATTTTTAATAAAGTGTTCTATTTATCATTTACATTAGATTCAAAAAATCCATCACACTTACAAGTAATTTTTTTTTCCCTTTTCAGTTACAGTATTTTATCTTTATCTAACTTTCTGTTGGATACAAATTTTGTTACTTTTTCTCTTCACATATTATTACTACTAGCATCAGGACCGGTCCAAACAATTTAGAGGCCGTGACAATTTATGTTAAATATAATTTATTTTTAAGTATGGGCTAAAGAGATTTAATAAACATGACCTCAAAAATTATTCATCACTTACAGTTCACTTTTCCTTTTTCATGCAATTTTTTTTTATCTTATATATAAAATATTCCTAACAAAAAAGTTATATGATTTTTGAGCCATTTTTTCCTCTGGGTGTTATTACGTAGGATCCTATTAACTGCCGGTGACAGGAAAATTTAGGAAAAAAATTAAGTCGAGATTCAGAACAGTGAAAAAAGAAAAGGATAGAGAAGGTTTCAAAGCTTCGGAAGAGACAGTCATAAGGAAAAAAAGAAACTGAATTTCAATTGCAATTTTTCATAACTATTTAATGGAGAAAGTATTTATACAAAGTCTGAAAATAAAAATGCTATCCGTAAATGGGAAATACTGTAAAACAGAAAAATTACACAATAGTTACAAATCCTTAATTCTGTCTTAATCGCAGTAATTGTTGTCGGCTAAATATGTCTTTGAGTTTTCTTAAATTGCAATTAAGTCTGAAAACCAATTCGATCATGACTAATCCCTCCCACTTAACAGCGGCCTTGTCCTCAAGGTTCGAACTGAGGAAAATTACTTTTAATGAAGCTTTCATCTTCCCAAGATACATCTTCTACGTCCAGACCATGACACCGGATCAATCATTTGGTGTGCACACATGGGTAATCAAATTCTGATGTTGTCGTTGAGTGTGGCCCAAGAACTTAAAAATTATTAGTTTCGTAATAAGTCGGGTCCAACCAACAAGAATGACAATGACTATCCTTGAACCGTTAAGTCACAGGAAAACCAAACTAAAAAATGAAAGGAGTAGAAATGTTTGGCCACTCACGCAAATGTCATTAGTACTTGATGGGTGTCGAGACCACCAGAAAAAAACCTACTTAAAACTTGTAGCAAATGATAAGAAGGGTCGATCCCAAAGAGATGTGAAACACTTAATGAAAATTGAGATTCAATACAAGAATGCAATGTGTGATAGAAATAGGAAATTGGCAAGTAAATTTATGACTTGACAAAGTGATGTCAGCCTAGGGTTGTTCTCCTTTATACTCTATATGCATATGTAATGATTTTTTTAGCTTTCTATGTGGTATGAAACTGTATTCAATCAGGCACATTAACAGTGTAAGGTTACCCTCGTTATTCCAAACAGCAGTCCTAGCAACAACAAGCCAACTAACTCTTGTTATGAACTCTAGAATACTACTAAGTCATTAAGAACTTCAGCCCTTATAATTGTCTCGTGCCAAACAACTAACTCTCATTGTTGTTTGAAACCTTGGGTTGTTACCCCCTCGTCACCGGTTAATCTTAGACATTCTAAGTTAACTTTACCCTCTCGGGATTCCCCTAACATGCAAGCACAATTAGTTTGAATGGCCTGTTCAATCTAAAAGGATAATTAAAACTCTAAGACTAAGCATACAAATATCATCCGAGAGCTTGAATCAAAACATAATTATATAGAGTAGAGGGATTAGACCCTAGAAATGAGTTTAGCTACTCATGGAGCGAAGCTCAAATACTACAAAGTTCAAGTGTTGAGACTTCTTCATGACTGCAACAGATAGAATAGAAAACAGGGGGAGCAAAGTCAGGGAGTGTGGTAAAGTGAAGCTGACTTCGCAGAGTCAGCTTCTCACTTCCCTAAGAGACGCCCCTGAGTCTGCCTTCCAGAGTTATACTCTGTTCTAATTCTACTGAACTAAACTCTACTATCTATACTACTTCTTCTGTTGGATTTTGGTCTGATGCATTCGTCTTCTGCTGCTGCTGCTTTATATAGAGGTTGGGGGAGTAATCTTTTCTTAGCCAAGTTTGTCTCCTCTTTACCCGATGGGTTTAAGAAAAAGAGAGAAGAACATACTTCTTTAACTTCCCCCTTACATCTTATCATCTTTGTGAAGGGATTTGGTTATTCTAATCAGTTTTAAAAGGCACATCAATCCTTCATTGTGTCAGCAACATTACTTTAGCACCTTCCCTTCTTCCTTAGCTTCGAAAACTTCCTCTAATTTGGCCTTCCTTCGCCTCTTCTTCCCGCCGGATTTCTGCCAATTGAGGCCCTTGCATTTCTATCCCTGTAACATCTTCCAATTTGGCTCGAAATTTTACCATTTTGCCATATGTTGACCACCTTTTTGCTTCTTTTGCAATTTAACCCCTGAATTACCACCAGTCACTAAATTAACCTATAAACATAAAATTCTAACCTAATTGACCTAAAATTAAAGTATAAAGAGGCAAAATATGTGCCTAAAAACATCGTACGATTTGCTTTCATCAGTACTCGCATGACTGATGCTTTTCCTCACTGAACACTAACATAAGCTTGGGGATCCTCTTCTCTTTCTATGTTACTTTTACAATGATTATGCATCCATGTGGTGTGAAGGGTGTTCAGTCAGATGCTCTACTACTCCTAAACCTCTTCCGAGCGAACTGGGTGTGTACCCGTAGTGACTAGCGTGATCCCTTCCGGGTAAGACGTCCAGTTTAGCGAGGCATTACAAAGCTAGAGTTTTATTGACCGCCTGTTCCAACTTAGTATCTTTCTGTTCTCGTTGAAACCTTAGATAGTATCTAAGTCACCAGCCAGATTTTAGTTGTTCTAAACTAACTTTACTCATCAGGGATTCCCCTAGTATGCATGCACAAGTCTTTAGTTCATCAAACTATACAAAAGACTAATTCAAACACTAAATCTGGGCATACTTACATCATCCGAATGAAAATCTAAATTATTTTCACATAGAAAAAGGGATTTAACCCCAGCAAAAGATCTAGTTACTTATAATCAGTATTTTGACGACAAAATCCGTAAAGAACCGAGCACAAAACATGATTAGGAGGCAAAATTAATCAAACATAGAGAAAAAGATGCAAGCTTTGCAAGAATTGCATAATACTCATGTGAGTTGTGATGCTATTCGCCTGAGTGGCTGTTTATGCTAACTACTGTGAGAGGCTCTATTTCAGAATTCTCTCTCTACTCTCTTGCACTAAAACCTTAAACTTTCTTACTCTAAGATACGTCTTTTTCTCCTCATCTGAGAAAGTGCATGTTGTTCTCCTTTTATAGAGCACAACAGTTTGCTTCTTCGATCAGATTCTGTCACGTACACCTAGTAGCAGCTGCATCAAAAACGTCTGTTTCATCCTTAGTTCTTCAGGTTTGCTACCAAAGTACTCTTCTTTGGCATTTTGAATTGATATTCTGGACCATAGTGCCTGAAGTTGCCTGCTGGAAACGGGAATGGCTAAAGTGGTCATTCAAATCTTCTTTGAAATCGCACCTTTTGTCCAATAAGCTTTTTAACATTTTTTTTTGCCAATTTTGCTCCGAATTTAACCAATATTACGATTGAGTCTTTGATGGAAATGCAGCAATTCATTAATAGTATATAATTGTAACCTAAATTCTACAATTTTACAAGGGAGAGAAGGACTAGAAGTGATACTCATAATCATGTAGTTGATATTCATTAGCTCCCCTAAACTTAGAGAGTTGCTTGCCCCCAAGCAAAACCAATAATCCTCCTTCAATCCGACTCAATCACATAAAGTAAGCTAGAGGAGTGTCAAATTTGTGCCTTCTCAAACAAGGATATACATCAGTTCAGTCATGACTCATGCAAGTGAGATAGTCCACTCCCATGAGTGTGTAAATATTTACCACCACAGCTAAGTTCTTGTCAGCCTAAGAATCCATTTTAAAGGTTAAGTTCAATTCAAGCTTGGATGGACATTCATGTGTAATGTGACTATTCCCTATCATCTTCAACTAAAGAATTCACACTAGGGAGCAAGTTCTGAGGGCTTTATCTTAGAGTCTCCTGGCATTTTGCAGCATCAATTCTCCCTCCTTTACATTCTTCACTGGTTCATATGACCTTTTCTTTAACTTATGGTAAACGATAAATGTTCCTTTCATCTCATCGACGGGTCTGAATCCTCTATTTAATTACCAAGCCTCACCTCTCAAGGGTTACATTACCAGGCTATCTTACTTCCATATTAAAGATTCAGCATCCTAACCTCAGTTTTATCCACCAACCCCCTGTTTTCCTAGGTAATTATCAAGCTTTTACAGACCACTATAGCCTCGAATCGAGGTTACCATAATGCAAAGGGTTCTTCCAAAAAGGGGAAGAACCAACATTTGGGTCCTCTTGCCAATGCACACAATTGCATTTCCTGCCAAATAATCGATGCCACATCGATTGGTGTTGCAGTAATAATGGTGAACATTAATTTGGCCTGTGCAAATGTCACATTGTGGCGATACTTCGAGAGCATGATGTTCGTAGCTATGAGGTTGAACCAAGTTCTAAATCTGTGTTTTAAAGTTGCAGCAGAGAAGTGAATGAGCTCCTTACTTTCTGCGTATGCCATAAAATCCACTTTTTCAGGGTTGTCACACAGAGTCCTAATGCATGTGAGTGTCCCCTCCCTAGGGATGTTGTTATGGCTATCTCATAATCTGTTTCTACCAGCGGCAAGTTGAGGATGTTTCTGATGGCGGCAGGGTAGATGTCCAATAGGTGTCCATGCACGAAGACTTTGTTTCCTTGGGTTGCAGAAAGCTCGCTATAGAACTCCATGACTACTTCTAATCTCGGGGGCTCTATAGGATTACAAAGTTGAGTCTAGTTGTGTTCTGTAATGAAGAGCCCTTTCTGTAGAGTATGCCTCGCTCATCATGGTTGGCCTTAAAGAATTCCCAAGCCACCACTCTCTGGAGAACATGTGCATTACGCTCTGGCTCCTATGCTGCTTTTACTTCCTCCCGCTGTGCCCTACTAACTGTGCTCTTTCTTGGTGTTTCTCTGACTCTTGATGATATTGTCATGCACAATTAGTATCCTTTTCCCACACAAGTATAATATCAATTGAACTTCAAGGAAGACAACCCTAACAGGATAATCACTCGGGCACGTGGTATTCTGTTCGAATCAATTGCTAGGAGAGTTTGAAGGGGTGTTGCAATTTTGACTCAAGGGGTGTTGGTCTTTTATAGCATGTAGTTGTGCCTCTGAAACATCCTAGCCTTAATACATTAGAGACCAGGGGGTGTATTCAGTGAGTTAATGTATGAGCAAGGAATCTGTAACTGTGGTAATTGGAAAAGTCATTGGGAGCACCGGAGCGGTATCTGTATCTATTAGAGCAGGAGTCCCATCCTATTTTTCAGGGCTGGTGACGTGAAGATATGATTCCAACTCTTCCTTTGACTGGAATCCATTTTTCCTGAAAATTCTGCCGTTAAAGAGCTATCAAACAAAACCAAATTTCTCCCTAAAAATGTTTTTAGTAAAATTTCCGCTCGCTGATACATACTGTAAAATATATGTGCCGATTGACTCACATGAGTGAGAAATTGAACTGGCGTGAGCGAGAGAGTTACCTTGTTCCTGGAACTGCAAATTGTTATTGTGCTCAACTCCAAAATCCTAACAACAAATAAATCTAAAGAAAAATTACTAAAGAAATGCAACAAGAAACTTTAAAATTACCAAAGGTTGCCTCCTAAATAGCATACAGTATAATCCTATGCCAAACTAAGTCAAGAAATCATCAAGTTGGAATAAAAATGCAGCACCTGGTCGTGCTGTTCATCTTCCTCAGACGGCTTACCATGCTTTTCCAGTAGCACGTTCCACTCTCGATTGCACACACGTCTTAATTGCTTGGATGAGGTAGGCAATTTGATTCTGGCTGTTCCTATGATGATCTGCCCATCAATGAGTCTCCATCCTTCATCCTGGTGTTCAATTCTAACTTCTTTTGTGCCCAAGAAATAGCACTTCTTCCAATTGATCACAGAGTCAGACTTAATACATCATTCCAGAATCTTTCCTAACTTTTCCAGGCATGCGTCAAAGGAAGGATCCTTCCTCAGCACTTGATCTATTGACAACTGTTGTTGGGAGGGAAATCTTCCTTTCTCAATGGTTGTGCTCAGCTTCCTATAACCTACACATGTTTACCATCCCCTCATAGCTCAAGCAAGAGTCAGTTCTTCCTACTTATTCTGGTTCTCCCTTGCTTCTTCCTTCTTTGGTACACATTGCACTGCTGCATTCCTTATCCACATAAGCCTAGGGCGTCGCGTCGCCTCCAAATGCATATTACGGTGGTTGGCCGAATGAAATTTCCAAATCGGAGCTTCAATTGGATGGTAAATTTCTCCCAAGTAGACAATTGACACTCTTTCCAATCTGTAAATAAATTGAAGATGCTCCCCAACCATATATAGCTATAAACAACTTCCTATTGTCGATCGGTGTCTCATTTTCGATGGAGAAACGATGAAATCGACACAATCACAAATAAAGAATCTCGCCAAAAAAAAATAGCGATTCCAATTGGTGAGAGTTTCGGAAGACCAACTGTAGTCGGATCTGAGGGAAAGGCTCGTGACGAACGACAATTCAACAATTCCTGAACTAGGTTTTCGTAATGAAAATTCTTGACATCTATGCTTTCCTTCAGTTAAGTCAGTAGAGCACTAAATTGGCGGTTGGTATGATCAAAGTAATCCATTTGTTTTGTCGGGTGCTAAAACGGAGAAGAAATATAGTTGAAGAGTCAAAAGATTCAGGGTTTAGATTTTCAGAGGATGACGAAGAAGGATTTGGGGAGGAAAAAAACGAAGAAGAAGCTGAAAATGGATAGAGACAACCAATCTATCCAACCAAAAATCGATTGCTCTGATACAGTAGATACCGGAGTTGAGAATTTAGAATTAGTCAAAAATTTGATGTCTGTGTCGGAATGAAAGCAGTTAAGAGAGTAGTCAAGAATCAAGAAGAACATCAAAATTCATTCATTATCTAATTGACTACAACTATCCCAACAGGTTTTATGCTAATCCGACCAAACTAACAATTAATAGGAATATTACAATCAAGTCCTATATTTTATTTATTTCTATTCTTAACCCTCACTATATGAAAAAGTTGAAAACTAACCCAATACGCATAATTCGCGGGATATACTATTAAATATAATATATAATATACCATTAAACATAATAATGATAATGATGTGAAAGGGGCGTCACAAAGAAAAGCTGATAAAACAATTATACGGAGGTATTGTAATTTTAAAATAAATAATGATTTAAATGATTGCATGATTTTAATGATTGTACACAGTATCAATACAACAACAACAATACACAACATTGATATCCTCTAGGGTCAAGATTACAAAGAGGCCGTTTAAGTAGTATGACCCAAAATGCATTGATGCATTGATATATTAATTTTCGACAACTTCACAATTAAGAAGCGTCGGAATTTGAATGAGCCATTTTAATCCAATCCATTATTAGCACAAAGCTGAAAGAATTGTCAATAATGACTCTTCCAGCTTCATTTCCAATGGATAATTGTACACAGTATCAATGAAAACGCAAAACATCAACATATACTAAAACACCACGAGATACATTTAGCAAACCAACATAATTAAATCCAACTCCTGCTTCGATCATTTATCAAGAAATCACGCAATTCTGGATCTCCCAACTTCTCAAAAAGCAGAGCTGCCCAAGCACACACATTTCAAATGCTCAAATAGTTACATTCGGGAGATTAGCAGCGGAACAGAGAAAGAAGTCTCCTCCCCGCCCATCACAGGGTGGAACAGATCCAACTCCCCATACCGCTCAAGCACACGCATCCTGCAGTCCTCGGCCGCCTTCAGCCCAGTAGAGTATGCTCCATGTACGGAACCAGGGAATTCAAAGCTCGTTGCTTCCCCAGCAAAAAATAGGTTGTCTACAGGGATTCTAAGCTTCTCATACAACTCATGGGGCTTACCTACTGTGTCGTAGCTATATGAACCCAATGTGTTTTCGTCGGTACCCCAGTGAGAAACAAGAAACTGGATCTGCATAAAGTGTCCAGTAAATATGTAAGGGGACTATGACTAAAAACAACATTTACTTTTTTTTTCCCCCTATTTTCTTAAGAAACTAGGAATATTTCAAACCAGACTAATAAAAGTTAATTACATCGACTGTTTTTTCTTTTCCTTTCTCATATTGAACATAACTAGCATAGCTGGAATACAAACAATTGGTGCTCCTAGGACAGCCACTTCTCTTCATCTACAGGCATTATATAGATGTATGTTTCCAGTAAAGAATACAAATGATATACAGCTAATCAAACCTTACCTAACAACGGATTTTGATTGGTGGCAATCTCGATGAGATATGCTGATTAATAAGGATTCAGGTAACTACACTTAGAAAAGTAAACTTCTTGCAAAGATAAAACAAAGCAAGTTAGATCATACAAAATAATCATGACCCCGTCTCAGAAACAAATGCATGAACCTTCTTCTGACAGCATCAGATCACCATTTTACACTAGACTACCAAAATAAACAAAACAGATCAACTTATATGTAGAACAGGATCATTAAAAGCAGTTGCCAAAGAATAGGAGAATAATTCTAGGCCCTTACGAATTTGCCTCTGTGGTGCACCTGGAACATATTGGGTTTAAGGAATTATTCCCTCCCCCCCCCAAACAGCAACCACCCCCCAACCAACACCTCCAAAAATTAAATGCAAACGCACCCCGAAAAGATGAAGTATAAGAGCAATCCACAAAGATTGGACTGGATGCCACAGAAGTGGGACGCATCATGAAAATAATACTATGAGATCATATTGAAATGCAGGTCAAATCGAGGTAATTTCATGCATACGAAAATAAAAATAAAAAATGAAGACAATACTTACAGGTTTAGAAGCATTTGGAAGGATTCTCTTAAGCTGTGTACAAGCGAACATGGCAGCACTTTCATCTGACATTTTCTCAATGTCACGAGCTAATTGTCCTGCGGGCATGTAAACAAGGACTGGATGGCCAGTCGCCTTATGCAGGTTAAGAAAGTAACTGCACTCGTAAGAAGTTTCTGCAACTACTCCCAAGAACTCTACATTAGGCCAAAAGACCTCACTAAAGCGCAAAATTATTTTGTTCTCGATCCCTATTCCAAGGTCATTTATGGCCTCCTCCTTCCAATCTGGTAATCTTGGTTCAAATTGAATCCGGTTCGATTTCAGAACGCCAAGAGGAACAGCAACAATTGCAGCATCTGCGACAAATGTTCTCCCATCTTCCACAGTAACCTTCACTCCATGGTACCGTCTAACAACCTTTGTAACCCTTTAAACCAATAAAGTGTGAGAAGACAAACAAGCTGGGGGAAAGAGATATATATATATATATATATTACCTTTGACCTAACCGGATGTCAAGACCTTTAGCAAGTGTATTAATTACTGGAAGATAGCCCCTAACCATAAGGCCATGACCTCCCGGGAGCAACTCCTCCTGCAAAGTTGAACAAACGGGATAAGAACACAAAGATCCAGGTGTAATGGCATCCAGAGCAAAATACACCAGAATGCTGCCTCCTACTTTTGAATAAACTCTTGAACATACAAATCATAAAACATCTTCAATACTTAGTAGTCAAATAAATTTTGGAAGACTTCAAATCAGTAACATAATGAAAAACAACAATTACTTTGATCGATATCATCATCAAACCCCCCGAACATTAGGAAAATACACATGAAAAGAAAATGTCACAAGCTCAGTAGCGCCATAAGATGGATTATTTTGTCGTGATAAAGCAAAGGTATAAAAGGCACGAACCTTGTCCCAACTTTGAAGTGATATAGTGTCAGCATCTGCAGCAAACCAGCCTTCCATTCTGCAGAGATACCACTGCAAGACCTTATGAGCAAGTCCCTCCAACCTGCCTTACTATGAAAAGATTAATACCAAGACAAACACATACACACACATCCAGACAATTATACAAACACATTTCTTGTCAAAAAGAATTTTCAATGTGACCTTAAATCTGGTCTCCGTTCAAAAACAAGTGATATGGCACGAGAAATTGGCATATCTCCATTAGATTCTTCCCTCACTAAATTCGTCTGCAAACCAACCAGAGCAGAAGTCATCCAATTACCCAATTAGAAAAACAAAGAGAACAATTTCAACATGCACCAGAAACTCATTAGCAAACAACATGGAATTAATGTTTCTTCCACCAACTACAAAACTGTGTACCACAGGAAGTTACTGGATCTGTCAACAAATGGGTAGAAGAATAGGCATTTGCGAGTATCACATACCTCTTTCAAGATGCTTTCAAATGTGACACCAACTTTTGACACCAAGTCTTGCGCAACTTGATTACCCTCCATATCAAAGAGAGCATAGCTGTGAGAAAGACATGCCAATTGGGAAAAAGATTAAAATCCATCAATTGAATGTCAGATACCATTTTTGAGAACAGCTAGTTGTCAAGGAGTTTACTATAGACATGGAAGGTAAATGATCAAATGATTATTAAGAAAAAATAAAGGGAAAAAAAGGAGGCAGCTTTTTAATGCAATAAATATGGGATTATGGTGTCAAGCTTATCACCATTATGACACAAATATCAATGAAAAACCACTGGAATACAATGCTTTTGAAGCATTCAGAATCGAATATAAAGGTCAAAACATTCAGAACCGAATATAAAGGTCAGCAGGCAAACCTCTCCAAATCATGATCATACAGAACCGAATTATCACCGCTCGTACGATAAAGAGGTAATCCCAATCTTCCAATAACAGGTGCCAAAGGATTCTCATTGCAAACCCCGTGCAACCTGAAAGGATTTAGGGTTTAGGGTCTGCGAGACAGAGAACATACAAACAAGCGAAAGGAAAATGAAACTAAACTATAAAAAAGAGCGTGGTGTCTTTACCATGATGCTCCCAAATCTACAGGGAAACCAAATGAATAATCAGTGTGAACACGACCACCAATTCTGTCCCTTGATTCCAGCAAAGTCACCTATGATACACAAACAACTTTATAAACACTTCGTACAAGTAATTTCATCTTAATCAATAAGAGATAATATATCCTACCTGAAACGCGGCATCATGAAGAGCTCTTGCAGCAGCAATGCCTGCAAAGCCACTGCCTATGACAATAACAGAAGGTGATCTCCCTTCAACATTGGAATTGCAAAGACCTACACAAATATGATAGAGGCAAAGGAAATTATTAACAAATAAGTTTAACTTACAAAATAAAGTACAAAATTCTTTATACCAAAAAGAAAAAAAAAAGATTAATTAGGTTACCAAAGAAGCTTCAACGGTTTATATAAGACAATTAATTAGGTTTAATAAATTAGTTGCTATGTGATCCTACCCACTACTCTTTTTGAAATCAGGGCAAGAACACTCCAATAGAGTGACAAAACTAGGAAGGATACTAAAAAATCCTCCCTTCATAATGTCTGTTTAACAGTCACCAACTGGAAAAAAATAGAACCAATGACAAACTCAGACTCGCATCAACTATGAGCTGTCCAGTCTTACTTTGAATCAGCAATCAAATGAGACTTTAAAAGGCTACAAGTACTATATTACCATCCCCCCACTCCAGCTTTAACAGTCACCGATGGGTGCAACATGCACACATACTATTACTACAGGAAGCTCCCCAGAAACACTTTGTAAGAAAGAAAGGTCCTTCCTCCACAATTTTCAGTGACAAATTCTGCCCCGAATAAGTGAAATGGGGGAAAACATAATAATGGTATAAAATCAATCTTTGCTACCAACTTCTAGCTGAATTCCCAATTTCAATCACAGAACCCGTCCCAGAAAAGCAAGAATATGCCAAATTCAAAATGAACTACAGCCGTAACCCTCCAAAATTGATTTTTTTTTTTGTTTTTTACCCTTAAAATTACATGACCCTGATGTTAACATAATACCACAACAGGAGAATAAAAAAAGAGCTCCGAAAACTTTAATCACTTGAAAAGCAATTTAAGCTACCTCTCTGCAATTGCGAATTAGACCTGCTGTTGCGTGACTCCATAACTGATCAAGGAAGGGAGTTCCTGGAGGCGATCGGATGATTGATTCCTACTAAAATTATTATTCGTACAACTAGTACTAAATAAGAATAACCTCAATTTGGAAAACCTCAACAGGAGCAACGACAACAAGGATTCCGAATGAAGATTAAAATCGCTAAAAATAGAAAACTCCGGCGAATTACTGGACTGATGACGAATCGATGAACGATAATCGGTGCAAAAATCAAGCGAATTTCCAAAACGCCTCCTCATGCGTATTCCAAACCCCCACGGATTAAATTATATATCGAAGCAAAATGCTTCTGATAATACTTCAAAAAAGCTTCCAATATAATCACGCTAATTAATTAATTAACTGGTATATATACAAAACATATGATAAAATTCGTGTTATTTAGGCTGAACGAATTGAGGAATTTGAAGAGAGAGAAACGGGGAACGTTCTAGAGAGAGAAAGTTGAGGAGGATACTGATTTGTGAACGACTTCTTCCGGGGTGGCCTTTTTATACTTACGACTTGGTGGACTGTGGAGCTGGGCCACTTTCCCAACGTGATTGGCCCCCCGACGGTAGTTGGTTTTCCTACGGTGTAAGCACGACTATGTTTCTTAATGTGGATCTTAGTCCGTCCAGATGTGAAAAAACTTACGTGGAATTTGTGTGCTAGGTAGGGGGGTTAGTTAAACGGGTGCACCCGAAAAACTGATCGAACTGAATTGAATTCTGGCCAAATTTTCGGTCCTTAAATTCAATTTTCGGTTTTAACCGAATAAAAGTAACGTTTTTTGAGCGATTTTGAGTTTGGGGTTTTAGTTTCAGGGCCCGCTCGAAACCTGAACTAATTTTATTGTATAAAATTTTTATAGTTCTTTTAGGGAAATATAAATAGTTTTTTTTTACATTTTCTAATTAGGGTTTACTCCTCACTTTTATTTGACTACACCGGCCGCCTCCTTTTTTCTTCTCTTTCGAACCATGGCCGCCCTTTATCCTTAATCTTGACCAGCAGAAATCATCCCTCACTCCAAAATTGATTTCAAATCTACCTCACAATCAACTCCAAAATCGATCCCATCTCTTTATTTTTTTTCGATTGACAAGTTTAGAATAGGATTTTGTTGATTTTATTGGAAACTAAAACTCCGATCAGTCGATTGCAGCTTACGATTGTAGCTCCACTCCGGTCAATCGGCTCCAACACGCGACGTCACCCTCTCAAATCTCAAGGTTGGTTGGCTGGCTAATTGTTTATACACCTTAGAGTTCTTGGCTTCTAACAGTGATACCGTTATATTTTGAAAAATATCTTTTTCTTCTCCCTAATATGAAACTATATGAAACTCGATCCTTGAGGTGAAAATCCTCTTTGCAATTCTGAAGCTACTTTTATTTTTTGCTAGAATTTGGTGTTTGCGAATTCTGAAACTACTTTAATTTTTGCCCCTTCCTATTTCCTTTGCAGTTGTGAAATGTTGGACCCGAGATTATAAGTTTTTTATCATTTAAATTCATTAAATCAGTTGGATTGAATGAATATTTTCATACTGGTTAGTGCTAGACCGTGTGTGATAATATCTGATCAATTTAATCAGCTACATGCCTTTTTCTTTTTTGGGACAGTTTTCTCACTGTTTCTCTTGTGTTACTGTAGGTTTAATATAATTTTTTTTTTATGTCTTTTGGTTTCAGGTGTCTACTTTGTCGAGTACTGATGCGATGCTAATCAATTTGGAATTTGCCGATAATGATGATGTGAAATTAGAAAATGTCAAGGTAGACGGTGATTGGCAGTCACCGAAGACACGAAGAGGTCGCCAAAGATCTAAGGTTTAGGTTCATTTCAAAACTTTCACAAATAAACACAGTGAGAAGACAAGTAGATGTCAAAATTTTGGAAATGAGTACCATTCTTGAAACAAAAAAAACATGGAACAAAAAATCTTATAAGAAATTGCCTTCTAATATGGATTCAAAGCAGACTCAGTTAGTACTTGAGGGTGGGATTGATGGGGGATAATGTGTGACGAACCATGGATCTGCACGGTGCTTAGGGAGTGCGGCGATGATGATCTATGCGGTGGTGGACGGTCTAAAACCTGCAAGACAGAGCCTCGAGTGTCTCCCAAAGGTAGACTCTCCGATGCTTAAGTCAATAAAGGAATAGAGATAATATAGAGAGAGAGAGGGATGTATATCATGTGTAGAAGAGTGTAGAAAATAGGTAGAAGATATCAATTATGAGAGAGGCACCACCTCTTTATATAGAGGTGGTGTTACATGTTTCCTTAAACCTAGTCATAATAGGTTTAGGGGTGACTTAGGGTCCAAGGTAGCCAGCCCAAACCCATTAGGGTTAGGGTTTATTTATGACTCGTCAAGTGCCCCTAACAAGCCACATTCTCGAGACTTGATGAGAATAATATGGGTTGCTATAAGTATGAGGCTGGAGTGTTGACGGCTTCTCGACATTTGTAATGTTGCCCCAGTTCTCGAACATGATGTTCCTGCAAGATAAAAAAAAGGATAATGGTCGACAAAGGGATGTCCTCGAGGGGACAATGGTCGACGATGTGGGGGTTCTTGGAAAGACAATGGTCGACAAGGGGTGGTCTTCGGAAGGACAATGGTCGACAATCGAAGGTCTTTCCAAAGGACGATCTTTATGAGGACAATGGTCTATGAAAAGACGGTCTCTATGAGAGACAATGGTCCGTGAGAGGACGGTCCTTGAGTGGATAACGATCTTCAAGAGGACAATGGTCTATGAAAAGACGTTCTCTGTGAGAGACAATGGTCCGTGAGAGGACGGTCCTCGAATGGATGAGTAGTTGTTGGAGAAGGATTCTTGAGAAGATAATGATCGACAGAAGGAGGTCCTCGGAAGGACAATGGTTGATAGGTGGTGGTCTTCTCGAGGAACATGGTGCATAAAGAATTCTAGAAGATTGAACTCGAGCGGCTTGAGCTTGTGGATCTTGCCATTAAACTCGACAAAGATATTACAATAATGATAAAGGAATGACATATAGTAATAAGATGCTCGTAAAGAATATCAGTTCAAGCAGAGGATGTTAGGATGATCCCTCAAATTCCTTGCCCCTAGGGTATGTCCCTGTTTGTTCCCCCGAGTACGTTTTTCTCGTTGAAAGGTGATAGGGTTTTACCGCGAGAGGGTTGGTACCTTGAAGAACTCCTTTGATCGTGCTAAAAAAGATATCGTGATATGATAATAATATGATAATGATCACAGATATTAAAGCATAAAAAGGTTTTAGAAGTACCTCGATCTCGTAATAAATTGATTATTCGAGAAAGTGTTACCTCGATTCCGAGAAGGTAGTAGTTGAGTAGATAAAAGTCGAGATATATCTTCTCGAACACTTTGAGTAGTAGTATAGTACTCGAGGGATGGTTGCCCCTTCGAGGAGATATATCTCTCAAAACTTCAATCTTCGAAACTCCACCTTGCTTCGAAGGGCTTGAGAGCTTATCCCTTGTCGGCCTGTTCGTCGGTTTGTTTAGGTCGGCATGGAAGCCGACAGCGTCTTCGTTGGCTTCGTTATCGGCTGGAGCAACTGGGCAAAAACGTTGACATAACTGTCATCGATGGAAGGAAGTCAGCGCGGAAGTCGACGGTTATCAGTATGGGAATTTTCAAATTCTTGATTTTGGCTTTCGCTTACATAGATTTGCAGATCATATTAACCCGATGATCATTGTAAACCACCAATAAATTTCAGCTTCGTTTCAAGAAATTTATTTGGTTGTAAGGACCAAACAAATCGGTCCCACCGGACGTGCCACTTGACGAAGCATGGATCTGCACGGTGCTTAGGGAGGGCGGCGATGATGATCTATGCGGCGGCGAACGGCCTAAAACCTACAAGATAGAGCCTCAGGTGTCTCCCGCGGGTAGACTCTTCGATGCTTAAGTCAATAAAGGAATAGAGGTAATAGAAAGAGAGAGAGAGAGAGAGAGAGAGGTATGTGTATCGTGTGTAGAAGGGTGTAGAAAATAGATAGAAGATATCAATTATGAAAGAGGCACCACTTCCTTATATAGAGGTGGTGTTACATGTTTTCTTAAAACCTAGTCGTAATAGGTTTAGGCGGTGACTTAGCCTCTAAGGTAGCGTGCCCAAACCCATTAGGGTTAGGGTTTATTTATGACTCGTCAATGTCCATGTTGGGGCTCTGAATTATGATGATGATGAAGTTTATAGGGCACTTGCATATATGATTATTGTAGATGAGCAGCCTTTTAAATTTTTGGAAAAAAAGGATTTATAATATACTTCATGCAAAAATGTCAGCCTTTGTTTGTTCGTAATGGTAGGCTTACCATTGCTAATGAATGCTACAAGTTGTATTTGGATGAGAAGAGTAAGCTTAAGACTGAGCTTAGAGATAATATTGGTAGAGTTTGTTTAACAACTGATACATGGACTTCCTAGCAAAAAGTGAACAATATGACTCTCACTCATTATATTGACAATGATTGGAAATTGAGAAAGAGATTTCTGAATTTTTGTCCAATAATAAGTCATAAGGGAGACGATATTGGGAAGGCAATTGAAATGTGTTTGCTTGATTGGGAAATTGACAATGTTTTTCCTGTCACTGTTGATAATGCTACTGCAAATGATTCAGCCATGAAATATTTGAAAGAACAGTTTGAAAATTGGGAAAAATGTATTTTGGGAGGAAAATGGATGCATGTTCGCTGCATTGCTCATATCATGAATTTAATAGTTAAATCTGGTTTGGAACACCTTAGTGTGTCTGTTGAAAGAACTAGGGCTGCTGTCAAGTACATTAGGCAATCTTCACAGAGAATTTAAAAGTTCAAAAAATTTGCTGAGATTGAAAAGTGTCAAAGCACTAAGAATCTGACCTTGGATGTTCATACAAGGTGGAATTCCATCTATTTAATATTAGAAGCAGCTTATGAAAGGGCTTTTAAGAGGTATGAATCAACAGAGCCACATTATAAAGAGACTCTTGCGGAAGTTGTTAGACCCAATGAGGAAGGAGAAGAAGAAGAATCAGGGCCTGGGGTGCCTACTTCTATAGATTGGAATGAGGGTATCCTTTAACCTTTTTATGAGTTTACTTTGAAAGTCTCTCAAACTAAATCTGTAACTTCAAATTTTTTTCTTTGAGTGTGTTAATTTCATTGAGGCTCTTTTAAGGAAACTAATCAATGAATCTTAAGATCCTAGCATCTCCTTAGTGGCAAAGATGATGAAGGATAAATTTGATAAATATTTTGGCAATCTTGAAACTTGCAACATGGCTTTGTTTGTGGCTTGTGTGCTTGATTCTAGGAACAAACTTGAGTATTTAGTAGTTGTTTTGAATGATGTGTATGGGAAAATAAATGGCAAGTCAAGAAAGAGCCAAATTGAAAGTGAACTATATGGCATGTATGCTCATTATGTGAAGTTACATAACCTGGACCGTCG